ACTAGTACATCCGCGACACGAGTAGGCGAGCGCCAGCTATAACTGTAGACAGTCATCGCCCGCCAGATTTCCTGCATGATTTGGCCAAAATTTGACGCCCGCTGCCATTCATTTGCGCTCGTTTGTAATTTAGTCGCACAGTAGTGGCTTTTTCGAGAGGGGGCGTTTCTGCTAAAGAGGTGCGGCGTGCCCTTCTGCTCAGAAGTGGTCATCTCGCGCAGTGGGACTTGGGTGCATTGTCCAGAAGATGTCTTGTTGTCGATGATGCTGTTGAGGATCTTGAAAAATGAATTACACCAACTAGTTACTATGTTAATACGTGGGGTTTTTAGTCTGACCATTTTGAATCGAATTCATCTCAGTCGAAAAATTATTTAAGGATCAGTATCAGAGTACTAAAACTAAGAGTGTTGACGTTGCTACGTGATCACTTCTTTTTATTTAGAAGTATTTACTATTTCGCTCGAACAATCTCAGTCAGAGGCTCGCTTTGATTTAGAATTTATTTGAAGGCTTCAATAAAAGATAGCAAGGGCTGGAGGGAGTTGGATAAATCGTTATCATATGGAGAAGCTCGCAGGGAAGCTGGGTCTTGGTAAGACAGGGCCACCATGGCTCTTCTTTGAAGGTACTACAGCACTGGATTGCCTCATTGGTAGTTAGCCATAGCAATAGCTCCATAAGAGGCGCCATGACATGACATGAGCGGCAGTGTCTGACTGACAGTGTCTGGCTGATAGGATGCATCAAGAATAGTCCTAGTTCCTACCTTGGGCAACGAGCTCACGTCCGGAGATCTGCACCATCCAGGATTGTAGGCACTATGTTGATGCTTTCACAAGGACAGCGCTCCCTTGCTGAAGTGCAACTTTCTTGACGAGGTGGGCTCTCTGTCTGCTCTGGTCACATTTCTTGCATAAAGTATACGAATAGTTATAATTTGCTCGCAATATCCAGCCATCCATATTGATTCATCATGGGCCGCCCGACAGCTACTGCCTCGTCACCGATCTTTTTTGACATTTTGGTGAGCGCTAGTAGTCGACGCCAGTCAGTTTCTACGGTCATCATGAAAAGCAGTGCCAGGAGCTTAGCGGGCACGTAACTTGCTTGATGTATGGAGATGGAAAGGTAGCAGAGTAAATGGGAGGTGTACTTATGTTGAAGATTGCGATGTCTTTCTCCTCCGCGACCTCGTCTTATTTATGACTAAAGTTCGAACTAACATAAAAAACAAAAATCGAGAGCGCGTTATTAATGTTTATGTTTGCGAATAATTTTGATTTATACCTTTCTCTGCATATTAAGAATCATATTTGTTAAGTAGCCTGTGGCTGTTTTCCTAGCAACCGGAGGCAAAGAAATCCCAATTGTTGTATACAGCTAAGCTATGCCCCCAAGATGAAGATGGGCGCAGGTTCTTTCACCAAGCCCGTTGCCTTATTAAGACACTCGTACTTAGGTGGAGTAAGTCAAGAATTGTCCGCGCGCCTCCTGATTTATTCAACTGATGCATCCATCCTCACCGAAAAAATTTGAAACGAAGTTTCTAGTTGTATGGGTTAACTACTACAGCGGTACCCCATGGATTATGGGTTTACTACCCCATGAAGGGGTTAACTAGTTGTGGGAGTTCTCCCTCTAGCCGAAGTGGCGCTAGGAGCTGCTCCTTCTAGTCCCCGCGGTAAAGCTAGAAGATGAGATGGCTGCCAGTCTTCAGTTGTCTACACTTTCTTTCTCGTAGAGGGGGACGGAAGTTCTTTCTTAGACGAGGGGGGACAAAGTCGGCAATTATTCTTTTGAAGGTCGTAGCAGGATAGTTAGCACAGAAGAGATAGAGAACTGTTGATATTGCCATGACTAGGTCTCTTAGAACTGCTAGCAAATAGCAGCTTGTTGTAGATTCAGCATTATTTAGGAGAGAAGAGACGCGCAGACAGTCCTCGCGGCGGTGGACCAGATCCCGTGGCGCTCAATCGTTCACTGCCTCGATTGCGTTCAGTCTCACTCTTCCAGAACTACTACTACCAATGTAGTTTGTGCTTCTAACTGCTTAGAAGTCCCGAGGAGCATGGCGCGTGCTCGTATGTTTTACTATGAGTGATCATGATGGTGCTGCCTCATTTTCATTTTCTTTCTTTTCTAGCTAGGGCTCGACTGGGGGAAGTCTTATGTGTCGTGTGTGAAGTTCTTCCTTGGAAGCTTGCAGCTACAATGGGGATGCTCGCGTAACATGGACAGAGAACGACTCGCTGAGTAGGATTATACGTTGTTACTCATGTGGCCTGCTGTTGGACAAAAGTGGCACGTCTCTTCAAGACATGGCACGTCCGCAGCAGGCGACTTGCGCCCCTGGGACTGTTCAATAGAGTCACTCCGCTTATGTTACAGCATCAGTGTAAGTATGGTGGAACAGCGTAGCGTTCTGAATTTCCTTAGTTGCATTTATTCGTCTTACATCTTCACATGACTAACTTGTATTATCGTTATCCCATCACCAAAAAAGATTTCTCATTCTCATTGACTATTTGATGTATTTGTAGCTCCGCAGCATATCCTCCCACATGTTTGACCTAAGTATTCAGATGTTTGATTGTTTTTCAATAATTTGACTCCGTCCACCAAAACTTCATCCATGCAAACTCGTCACCAAAATGAGATCTCTATGATTCATCAGTCATATACAGAGGAATACACACATCATGACAAGTCAGCGCGCGACTTGTCGCACTGGGGCTGTTCTACAGTAAAGAGTCTCTCTGCTACTACTACTCGAGAGCAGAGGAGGCGACTCAGTGTCGCTCCGCGACTGTTCGGGTATGGCCTGTCAGTCTTCCAGAAGCAGAAGGCCGATCCAAAAGCAGTAGGCTGAAGAGGATAAAAACGTTCACTGGAAGACGCCTCGAAATAAATACAAGGACAAAAGGGAGTAGAGCGTCAGGAGGTGGTGGACAAAACCAAAATGGTTTACAGTTACGCATCGTGGACGAGTTACTACGCGGTCAGCAGATGTGCTTTGCGACGCTTTGTCATGGCGTCGATCGACTCACAACCAATGTTAAGGTCTGGATGTATTTAGGTCTTGTACTGAGGTGTTGCGTGTAGCTGTTGTCGATGTAGGTCTTGGATTGAGGTGCTGTATGCAGCTCTTGTGCGTAGGGCGATTAGGCTGCTTCGGTTCTCGTTGATCAATAGGTAGTGCCGTGTGCTCCTTTTCGATGATTGAAAGTGGTGCCTTCATTGTGGGAGTAAGTGCGGGGGACGGGCACACGTCCACCTTTCAAATAAGACGGTCGAGCTGCTCACGTTGATGACTCTATAAACACCCGCGCCATTCTTATACTCGACTTGATTTGATTCGTCACTTTCATAGTCTAGTGTAGTGCACCACTGCCACCATGCTATAGTCTAACTCATTGATAGAATGTTGAAAATGAAGAAAGTTGAGCTTGGAAGTCGCTTCAAATGACGCATCAGATTTTGAGTTGATTCCTTGGGCGATAAAAAGCCTTTTTTTTCGAGGATTGTGGAAGTTCAATTTGAAATCATTGCCAGCATCGTCATCATTATCGTCAAACCATCATCCTCGTCGTCATCATCAGCCTGATCCTGCTCCACCTGTTTCACCTCTTTCGTGGTGAACATTGTCACCATTGTGCTACTCCTAGCGTGTTTGTGTTGCTCTCTTTGGTAATCTACTACTTTGGTGTGCGTGTAGGTGTCCTGGAGGAAGTTGGCTCTAAGGTTTTAAATTGAATTGGTGGGCGATAAAAAGCCACTTTCTCGAGGATTGTGAATTTCACTGAAACAAAGCAGTGATGTGAAATCGTTCACCTTGACTATACTACTTGCACTTTTGTACTAGGTCGCTGCCTTTGCATTTGCTTCATCTCGATCCCCATGAATCACAGAGCGGAGACAAACTTAAACTTTAGGTTATTTTGAAGGATGATTTGGATTTGCTACAGTAAGTCAGCTTGATCTTGGTGTTCCTTCATAGATAACGCGGCAAAGGCCACCAACTACAAAGAACTTCTTTCTTAATGTTGGCCATCAACTAACCAAGTTCTATGATAACTTTTAGATGGTACTATAGGTAGCTAGACATACCTAGGTATACGTATAGTTAGAAGGCTCGTAGATGATGAGGCCACTCCTATCTTCATGCCTTATTCTATCCTATCGATCGTAGCAGACTTCTTCTAATGTTGGCAAATCGTCAGCCAGCTCTGTAGCGAAGTTTTTTGAGTCCTGCACGACGACTACAGGTTCGTCTACGGGAGGAGGAGAAGCAGCCTCGAGTGGAGGAAGGACGGGATTAATGTCTAAAGATATGCCACTACAGGACTCATTTTTATAAGCGTAACTTGTTATTGGCTTTGTTCTTGGCTCTCTGAATTTGATGCTTGCTAAGAAGTGTGCTTTTTTGTTTTAGATTTAGCAGTGATATTCAAACTCATGTGATGAGTCTATAGGTACTGTATAAGGCTGCTCCGCTGAGTAAATATTCTCGTCCTGAAAGCCCATTTCTAATACCACGCAATGGATAGCAGAGGTGAAATCGCTGACTGGTGATGGGTTTAACGTGCCCGCTTTGACAAAGCTCTTCGAACGCTTGCAGTTGCCTCAGGACGCTCTTGCGTTGAAGAAACAAGCGACCTCAGGAGCGACCCCGTTCCTTGAAGGCACAAAGCCCGCACAGAGATTAAGGCTTGTAGAATGATGTGAGTGAAGTATTTCTATTTTCTTTTTCTACTAATGTCAGAAGGCGGAGCGACATTTTCAGTAGCGCTTGAGCGCCACTGCTTCTGGGTAGGGCAACAATTTTCATTGGTGCTGATTTTCTGAGGTCTAGAATAAGAAAGAATCACTAGATCTGGGGATTTGCACATGCAGCACCAATCAAGGATCAACATTATCATGGGGATGGGGTTGCATATGGTAGCTCTAAATTAAGCAGCGGAAGCACTCGATCCATACAGCGGGAACATTGAGGCCTACATGGATCTTTGTAGGATGAGTGTTGTCGCAGCACAAGAAGAAAGCCAAAAATTAGGACAAGGATCTAAACAAGACCTTTTAGCGATAATATGATCGATTATACCACAGAAGACCAACAGTATCATCTTGACTCGTTGCGCGTCTATCTTGTTTTCCTAGGAGGCCGGTACATTAAGATGTACTTAGACTAAGAGCTCCAGCTCGACGAGCGTCACGAGAATTAGTATCATGTAGATGAAGAGCTTAGATCTTATACTATCGTGAAGACAGGGAGGAGGAGCTCCCGCTCTAAGAAAAGCAGGCGATGGCGCTGACGCAGCTTCTGGCAACAAAAAACAAATGCCTCCAGTTGTTGTAGATATTGCCTCAGTTGTGAGTACTACACCCGCTGCAGCCGCGTCTGCACCCACAGCAGGCAAAGATTAAGAGCACCTACTCGAGGTGAGTCAATTTTTACCAACGTGTTTTAGTCAATTTCAAATCCACCAGCATGCTTTTTGAGCCAACGACTTCCTCCGCTAGCTCTAAAAAGACGTCGCCAGGCCTTCGGTATCGTCTTGTTTACCAGCGTCTTAGTCTTTTAGTCAATTTCCGCCAACATCTTGTGGTCAATTTCCTTAGTTCTAATAAGAGGTCGCCATGCCTTCGGAGGTATCCTCGGAAGCTACCAAGGGTTTAGATCCTCCCTTTGTACACACCGCAACCCTTCGCTTGTGGCGAGTTGCATCTGCGCGCCACGGAAACTTCATACAGAGGACGAGCTTGTTGAGATTTCTGAAGCTAAGATCATTATCTGAATTTAACAGGTTGGATGATCTATCATCGGATGATCTAGATCAGACACATTGGATGAGATTTCTATTATCATATATTCAATGTATGAGGGCAACTCACTCAACCAGTATCAGGGATAGTTCTTAGGGCAGCTCACTCAACGAGAACTAGTTGTACTACGGATTGATAGACGTTAGTGAAAAAAGCACTACAACTTACATGAGCTTCTAATTAAGGATTTGCTTTTTACTAGAAAAGAAGTCGGTCAGTCGACCACGGCCGCACTTGAGCAAGGAGCTGCATTAGCAGCAGCTGCGGATGCGAAAGGTGAAAGTGGCCTTGTGAGCAGTGACGCCAAGAATGCTGAAGCTCCTTCGTCAAGCTCGAGCGTGCATGTCGCGCCTCGGAATTCGAAGACCGACAAGACAAACAACACTGCAGCTGTTGCTACTCCTTCACCTCCGCAACGACACTAAGGCATGATAGAAAGATATACTATAGATCTTGATATCTTCCTGATTCAGATTCAGATTCTCCATTGGTGTCTTATCTTTCAGTGAATACGCGTAGGGGCGTTACGAAAGACAAAAAACAAGTGTTCAGACTCTTGATGAGTCTTCAACTTCAATAAAGTAGATGTAGTTCGTAGACGCAGAAGAGAGAGAGAAACCTAAGCATGAAGATACTCAATTCCGTATAGTACTCGAAACCTCCCTAGTAAAGGCTAAACATCATGATCTTCTTCAAGAATGTGGTAGCAGAAACCCCATCCCTAAATGTTAAACATGTTGATGATCATCTGCTATCGCCTAATATCAACAACAGCCTCCAGCGCAACAGGTCCCAAGGGGTCTGTGGTTTGAGCCTTTATTCCTCATAATGATGCAAATGCGTCTGCCATTGACCAGAGAGCAAGCACGTGCACTCTTTGCGCATTATGCGAGAGAACATGCAGAACAAAGAGACACGTCGCAGAAATTAAGGCTCGCGACCTCGCCGTCAAGGACCTAATCGTAATTGATTTTGATTCATCAATCTTCATAGATAGATGATGATGATGAGAAGCGTTTTTTTTGTGGTTTGCTTAGTCAGACCAAGGACTCGCTGTACAAGGCAGGGAAATCAACAATTGATGAATTTGCGCGCGCGCATCTAACTCTGAGGAGGGCGACGGCTATGGAAGACACCTCTGACGTAGGGACGAGAAGAGCATCTACATTTTCCAGAGCAGGTTAAGGCCCCAAATAAGTCGTCGTCGACGGACCACTTTTAATGTTTGATAGAGTTGTGGATCGTCAACATCAAGAGCAGCAACATCTTCTGGAGTCGTGAAACTTCTAGGAGTTTCATCAAGCTCCACTTGCACTTCTAGGAGTTTCATCAAGCTGCAACATGAATCTTGAAAAAAAGCAAGAAGTCTTGAAGATTATACTCCAGCATCTCTCTAAAAAGTGGCGGAAAATGGCGCTGAGGCTGACCCAACAGCAACAGCATCAGCAGTTAAGGCATTTGATAACTCATCTCCGCAAGACCAAGAGCCCAAGAGCCACTAGCACGAGCCACGACAGAGGATGCGAAAAAGCTGGATCCCTTTCCCTCGTGTAGTTGTACTTTGTAGTCTTTCCACGACAGTAGACGTAGATGAGTACTTAAGTTTGAAAGTATCTTCCCGGTAGCTCGTAGTCGTGTTTGAATCGTCGTGAAGCGACAGTAGAGTGAGCTTGAAAGTATCTTGTCTTCTGTGTCGCTCGTAGTCATGTTTAAATCGTCGATCCCTGTCGTCCCTCGTAGTGTTTAAAAAGTCGTGAAGAGGACGTTCTCCTTTTCATCCTCTAAAAGACACGACTCACGCCAAAGCCTCTTCTTGTCTCGAAGCAGAGCACAGAGTCTATTTTCAGATTTAGGGCTTCCCCTAATCCAACGCCAACTCTCTGGAGATCCCTCATCCTCAATAGTATGCACCCCAATACCAGGGAGATACTCTTGAGGCATATTCTACTTGAGGGATCTCCACAGGGATAGGATCGAATAGGATATTAGTGTGCCTTTGCAGGGATGAATTATTGGGGGAAGCCAAGCTCTAAGAGATGTGATCGATTTCGGCGTCCATAGGGAAGCATTCTTCTACTTTCTACATTTTCATCGGATACAGCTTCCGGACTCCGCGATTCTAGCACTTTGGGATCAAATCATACTGCCGAAATTTATGAAGTAGAATCAAATATCTCAATCTCAAACAAAAATGTTACCTGCTATATCTCTAGATTGCTAATAAATGTTCACCTATATCTATCACGCGGGCTGGTCCTGGAGCGTTCATTCGCCCTCAGCTACTTTATGTAATGGTCGACTCTAGCTAAAAGTGGAATGATGTAAGTATTGTTCGTCGTAGACAAAACGAAAGAAACAAATACAAATAGACGCTTCTGCTTGTTGTGCTTCATCTTGTTCGCCAGCACGACTACAGCCAGTACCTTCTAGACCAACAGGAGCCCACAGTTACAGCGTCTCCGTCTAACTATCGGCGTGGTGCCTTGCAGAACTCCACGGTAGAGCTGCCCTCTTACATGGCTGAAACATTCATTGGGCAGTGGATAACGGATCTGCGGATGCGGAATGAGGAGTATAACATTACGAATCCATCGACTTCAAAGGTTGTCGTTGTATATTTAGATGCACTAGTTGCAGAAGTAGATGCAGAAGTAGATTCACACTCAGCAGAGGAAGTAGTGAAAATATCTCGATGTTGTCGGACTAGGACATTAACATTGACATGAGTACTATTTTAGTAGAACAAGTAGAAGTATCTTAACCTTATCGAGGTCGTCGTGTAGAAGTACTAGAAGATACATTTACGTCAACGTCCTCGTGGTCTTTCACTAGGAGAAAGTGTCTAGCTTCAACTAAACACTAGTAGGCTTATGAGGATTAGTAAAGATCTTGTTGTATTTCATTTTCACGTAGTTGATTATCTTGAATGCTTTGTTCTTCCATGATAGTGAGTGTTTGATGTGTCGTTGTTGAAACTTGAGACCTGTCATGTGACTGTGGCGTCATTACTGAGCTCCTCTCAGCTGAGACGAATCTGTCCCTGACGATGCCTATTACTGGTCGTAGTGATTAGCGGCCATTAGCTAGTCAAGTGTAAGTGTCGTGAAAACCTTATCACCAGAAAATGAATTTGAATTTTGGGCGATAAAAAACCACTTTTTCGAGAATAATTGAAATTTCGACTTCTTTTTTTTGAAATTTGAAACTTTGAATTTCTACTTTTTCCATCTGAGGGAATCTGTGGAATGTTGTAGATAGCAAGAGGGCACACAGATGCTTACTCTATCATAATGTAGTAAAAGTAGGATGTACTATTAAAGTAGTAGTGAGAGGATCTTCGCTCGATAGGCAGGAATAAAGACCAACTACGGTCGCACGTGATGTACTGCTTCTACTTCAGAAGACGTAACTCTCTTTCCAAAAATGTAGTTCTTTCACTCCTAGAAAGACTACTAAAGAACTTTGTTGCTCAACCTAGAACAAGAGACAACAACAAGCTCCACCTCTAAGTTCTCTAATCTCGAAGCAGAAGACAACAAAGAGCAGATTGCGAGTACCTCTGTGGCGCCATGGCCTCCAAAAGAACTTGTGCCGATCGAATTTTATGCTCCATCTCCTAATCCATCTCTAGTACAGGGAAGTAGATTCGTCAACAATTCAAGGGGATCCGTCAACGTTTCATCTGGCGTTGTACCCCATGAAAATAAATGAATGGCAACTGCAATATCTACTAGAAGACGTAGGTGGTGGACGAGTAGACCTATTTACCTGTTAACTTTTTACTCCGTACTGTAGATAGTTGACCTTGACGAGGACAGAGTAGATAGACTGGAAGCGAGGGGATAGCGCTCGTCTTAGCACCGACCACAGAGATGCATCTCCACAGAGATGGTGATGGATGTCCACGGATATCAAAATCAATGGTTTGCTAGGGACACTTAGCTCTCTCTAAGAATTTGTTACCGACTTAACAATCGAGGTACTGCTTCGAAGTGGGATGTGGGTAGAGTTTGCCAAAGAGATACTGCGTTCGCTCGACGTCGTCGTCGCTCCGGATGTTACGATGAGTAACTTCTCTTGAGGGCGCTTGATTAGTACACCCAACTTTTAAACTCGTAAAATAGCAACTCAAATTGTTGATGTCAGTATGAAAAAGTTGACCCCCATTAAACTCGAAAAATATAAATTGTTGCCAGCATCAAAAAGCTGGCCCCCATTAAGTCGAAGCTCGCCGATGCTATTTTGGTTCTTTATCCTTCCTCCGTGGCAGCTTTCACTACACCAATTTTGATATACGCGTTATTCTTGACCACATTTACCTTACGTTATATTGACCTTGAAGTTCTTGAATCTGTTCCGTCTTGCCGGTAGTTTAGAAGGGCTACTCACGTTATTTTTGACCACATGCACATTACAGCGTTATATAATTACTTATATATCATCGACCCACCTCCCACAATGATTTATATTACTCCCACATCGTTTTCGTTGTGTTATCAATATATGATTAACGACGCT